ATTTCAGAGCCTTGAGTTTAGCCCCCAGCGTTTTGGCTTTCAGGGTATATATTATGGGATTTCCCAAACAGTTCATGGTTATCAGCATAGCCGTGCAGTTTCGAAAGATGTAGACGCCTGGGTAGAGATCAATGGGGCACTGATGGTTAGTTGCGTCAAATACGACTCCTGCGAAAAAAGGAGCGTATGAGATCAATGCCAGGAGCCAAATAAAAATACTGGTTCTGGCAACCTGCATTTCGGCTGACTTGTAGGTGCCAGTAGCTTGTCCACATGCTTTCATTCTCAGCTTTCTTTTCCTCAGGATGATAATGATTCTAAGGTAGGTGAAGAGAGGTATAATAAAAGCCACCACAACGTTGGGAATGGCGATGAAGATGAGGTAGTTAACGCAAAACGGGCTGTAGAGGACAGAGAGATTTTTTTCCATACGCAAGCAGTTCCACCCCATCAATGGCAAGCAGCCCAAAAAGAAAGCAAGGACCCAGTTAATTAAAACTACAGCAATAGAATGGTTTCTAGAAACCCTGAATCTTGTCCTCATGCTTTTAGCCACAGCCAGATAGCGTTCAATTCCAATGCTTACCAAGTTATAGATGGTGGATAAAATAGACACCGTATATAAGGCATAAGGTGCAAGCATATCCTTGGATCCAAAGATTGTAATGTCAGGGTTGGTGATGAACAGCATCGAAATCCAAAAGCCAGAAAAGCTGGTGAAGAGATCAGAAAAGGCCAAATTGCAGAAGAGTATCGAGATAGGCTTGTGCAGATCCTTTGTTGCCATTCTGGTGATGATGACGGTGCAGTTGAAGATCACAGATGCTATGTTAATGGTCAGTTGAGGGATGCCCAGTGCAAGTACTAAATAATGACTCCAAATGTTAGTGTGGTTAGTGGAGCAGTTTGAGTATCCGCTCATGGTGGAAAATCCTCCTTTCAACCGTTAACGTCTGCTTCACACATCCCGTATTCCACAGAAGACCGTAGCACACGAGCGTTACTGCCACCTTCTTCTCCAGGCAAAGAATGAATCCTGATGCACAGCTTCTATTGCCACATCATCATCATGACAGTGGATTAAACTTTAACCACTTGTGTTTTTAAATATTTGGGTTACCAACTCAGAGCATAACCAATTACCTTTAAGTTGCTAGGAGAGCCAAAAGCGGAAAACATATTTACTACTATACAGACGATCGGCTTAAAGCAACCTTTATCAAGAGCAAACTCTGGCCAGTTTTTGTGAAGATGAATGATCACATCGGTATTTTTAAAGTCTTTGAGAATATTCTAAAATGGAATGAATGTGAATTCAGCTTTAATTCACAAATAGGTTAGATAGATAAAAGATTAGAGAATCAGAAAATGGAGAGCAGCAATTTTTTTTGTTTTGGAGGGGAGAAGTATGTAACCGATGGACCTCAAAGAGGAACATCACTGTTGTGTCACTAACCTGGACCCCAGTTCAGTGAGGATGTAAGTCCTAATTTCAGATCAACTCTCGTGACATCACAGAACTTCTAATGTGCACAAGGTTCAGAAAGAGACAACAGAACCTCGTTGTTCCCTGTCTCTTGCTTACAGCTACAAACTGATGTGGCCAACAGCGGCTGCTTTTCTAAGCACAGTTAGGTCATAGCTACAGCACAAACACCAAACTTGTAAGCAAAACCGTACAATGACCTGCAGCACTTCAAAGGGGACCCAAACAGGTGAGTCCTTGTCTCCACAGATGCTCTTGTGCTTGGGCCCAGAGAAATAGCTCAGTACTGAGTACTGGAGTATGCAGAAGTCATCAGAATACACTTGAAATTGTATGGCCTTTCTTCCCCTTGTGTAAATCAGAGGTACTGATGCTTTACAAGCTAAAAAAAAATAATTAAAAAAAAAGAGATGTAGTTAAAGAGTTATTAACTTAATTTTCAAACAAGGAAATGAAGGAGAATGGCTTAACCTTTTAGTAGATTAATTGTATTGGAGACTAAGCAGTTCTGAAAATGCCATATTTTTTTTTTTCCACTGTAGTTTTTGGACGAGAACGTAGCCAGCAAACAACAGACATCTATACTCATACCTTTGCTACGGGATATTTTGGTTTTGCTTGTTTAAAGTTAACACGGAACTTGTACATTAATAAACCAACGTAATATCGTTACACCTTTCCTTTCTGTGTTCTTTTTAAAGGGAAATGATTTTGAGAAGTAGGTTTCAAACCCTCGAGCCTGGCGGGGAAGGTGCTCTCTGGCCATTCACCCCCGCTGTGACGGCAGAGGGCACTGCCCCAACACCCAATGCCGGGTCTCGCCCCGTGGGGTGGCTGGCGGGAGCATCACACCACCGTATCGACAGGAACAGCACCGGGGATATTTTATTTTTTTTTTCCCTACGCAGAAGCGGCTGCTTTTATTTGCTAATGCTGAGTGCGGGTCGCCTCTGTGTCACCCTACGTGTTATTCAAAACGCTGGAGAAATCTCCAGCGTGCTCTGGCTGCTCCCTGGCATCGATCCGCAACTGAGCAGACAGGTTTCTTGCAAGCTTTCCTTTAGCCACGTTACTTACAAAGTTATTCTGAGTTCATTTTTCTTTTTACTGTTATCCTAACAAAGGATTAATTTGCATTAGTAACAATTTTATACCATGATATTGCAACAGCAGCTCAGCTAAGTTACAGGCTTTCCACATTCAGTGCTGACATCCGATCATTACAGCAGCAATTCCAGCTCTAAAACTATAAATCTGTGAACTATATGACAGCTCTGCCATACATAACATAGGAAATCTGCGCTAAAATGTTTGGCTTAAAGAGGAAAATTCTATCGCTTCTTTTTTCTACTGAAGCGTATGAAAGTATATCCGGGTTAGTGTGTAATTAGTAGTATGCACTTAGATACTAGAAATACTTTATGCAAACAAGTGAAAGGTATTTCAGATGATCACAGGGAAGTGCAAAGAATGATTATGTAGGAATAAGGGATAAAAATTGATTAATCAAGTCTGCTGATGTATTCATATCCTATAAAATATTCTTCTCAGAAGTGTCACAGATAAACCAGTCTTTGTGCATCCCGTAACGAACCTCATGCAACTTGTCAACCACACTTTCGGTGTGAGGTTGCTGCTGAACAAGGACTCTCCTATTTCTGTCGCCTTGTCCGTGCCAGCACCGCGAGTCAGCGAGTCCTTTTAATACCAGCGAGTAAGTCAGCAGGGACCGCAGAGCCCAGCCGAACGTCGGGCAGGAGTGGCAGAGGACACCAGACTTGCACTCCTGATCTCATCTGATTGTGTTTTCCTTGGCTCTGCGAGCCGAGGGCTGTGATGAACGGCAGGCTATCCACGAAGTAAAACGTCTTCAAAAATACCCTAGTTACTAAGAAGAGTGTATCCGTGAACTTGGGCCCCAAAGTGCCCTAGATATTCCTGAAAATGCTACTTGCGCTACTTGAAATTTCTCTAATTTGAAAATTTGGTGTTCAAGCATGAAACACTAAATGACATGAGATCAGAATGTAATTAAAAATAATATCAAGTAGCATAAATAGCTCTTCACAAAAGCTTTGTAATCTTATTTCCCTAATATGATTGCATTAAAATTAGCATAATGTTGCTAGATTAAAGGAGACAATATTATTGTGGAAATTGCTTTTTTAGTGTGCTCTGATATACAAAAAAAAAATCTGATTTATATATTCCGACCCTCTGTAATAAAGTTTGAGCTCTCAAAACCAGACAAAAAGCACTGTGTGAGACAGAGGGCTACTCCATAGCCAAATCCGTATGTATAACAATCGATTCAGGGATATTCTTATACTCCCATATTCTGGGAACTTTGCAATCTTTCTTGTACTTACACTCACAACACACCTGTGGGGAAAGAGCTTTATCTACATTCTATAAGTGGGAAAAGAACAATCACATTATTTGCTTAAGATCACCCAGAAGTCCGGTACAGAGGGAACTGAATCTAATCTCCCGTATCTCAGCTACACTTTAAACACCGGCCGTACCTTGCTGTTGAAAAGCCTTTGATTGATATTTATCTAGATTTCACCTTCTGCAACACTTTTTAGTTCTCTAATTTTTGAATATTTCTGCATCTGAGTGTCCAAATTGCTTTTGTTTTGATATTTGTCATGAGTAAGAAATGACATTATTTTGTATAGAATCTCGAAGTTCAATAATAATTATCTGACGATTATGCCTGCGGAGAAGACTATAACCACTGACGATGGTGAAGAGACTAAGAGACACAAGCAGCTTTGGGCTGAATTTTTAATGGCCATCCATTTCAAGTGGCTGTTGTGGAAAATCTAACTTCACACGACTGAGCTTGCCGTTTCCGAAACGACCATTCCCTGCAGCTCTCACTTCATCGGGAATCGCAAGCACCCAGCAGCTCCCAGAATAACAGACCCCAGGTGTGACATGCTAACGTTGGTTTCAAAACAGGAAATGAAGTCCACGAGCTGAGATCCTTAGTTCTGTGCAGTAACCCCTGGACAACGTACGCTTTCACCTCGGCGCGGTGGAGCAGCAGTTCTCTCTGTCCTTTATGCTGATAATGCACCAAGAAACTTGAGTTGTGCCTGAAACTACAGGAGAAAAACCTGCATCCATGAAATGAAGAGCTCCGTAGCACAATTAAGCTACGGATGATTTGGGGTTGCTTTCCAAGTCGTGTACACACACTGTACACGTGAGAAAACAAAGCGCCGACAGGGTAAGGGATTTTACCGTTCTGGTTTCTTCCCTGGTGCATTCTCCCAGAACTCACGCCCAATTCTTACTCCCGTTCTTGAAACACCAGACCTTGTTTGCTGCGAAGTGCAACAGCTCAACTTGCTCCTCGGTCGCCCCTGAGCTCCAACGATGCACTTTACCAAGCTGCGGACAACACACATAAAATGGCAGTGACACGCAGCTTGGCTAAGTATTGCGGCTGATTAATTCCTGGTTGCCACGACCTTCAGCAAAGCCTTGAGACAAGACTATCCATCTGCTCAGTCTGTCAATGGGCATCACGAGGCCTTCAAATAAGGAACATTCAGGAAAGGGAGTAATACAAATAGGGAGCCTATTTATCCAATTTATGTTTTAATTTATGCAGATTAAAGTCTTCCTCTTTGGAGAGGAAGACACAAATAGGGTGTATGATCTCCTTCCAAGATTTTTCTGAGATGTTTTCAAAACAGAGAGCTCTCTGCTCCTCCTCCACCCACTCTCTTTGAGGAATTTTTGCCTTACAGGTTTTGAGTTATCTGATGTCCCAGCTATGCTTTCCTGACCCTCACCAGGAACATAAAGCAAAGACAATCATCAGGCTTGAATGACTCTGGGTGCTGTGCAGCATTCTGTTAGCTACAAGCCACAGAATAATGGCAAGGATGGCTTGTTGCAAGAACAGCCCCCCAAACCAGGTCCTCTCCCCGTCTGTACAGAGCCTGAAACTTTCTCTGACATGCCAGAGCTGTTATTTTCACCTTTGAGGAACTTGTATTATGCTGTCTAAAGGGAGATGAACATTGATAAATACCTGACACCAAGGTTGTACGGTAAACGAAGCCTGCCACCGATAATTTGTATGTGAAGAAGCCAAAATGCATCTCACCCCTTTAGAAATGAAACGGTCCACATAAAAAGCGTCTTCCTTCTGAACTAAAGAGCTACAGAGGCACAGCGAGGGCTCTCATTACGAGAAAGCAGTGGTCAGAAATGTGGGTGCTTCAGAACCAGGCAAAGCAACTAGACAGGCTGTAAACACGCAGAGGTCAATGTACAGCCTGGAGACGCACAGCCTTCACGTACACCGTCCTCATGCTAGGAAATGCTGAGTTGCACACTGCTAGTGTTTCATCGCTCACCAAATGAAGAATATTCACCCACATAAAGGAGAGCGATTTACACAAATACTGGGAAAA